AAGTTTATGGTTGATTTTGTATTTTATTATTGTTATTATTTGTGCCGAAGCGTGACTATCCGTTCTGGTCGTGTAGGTGTTGCTGTGGGTTCCGGTGGACACCTTTATCAACTTCCGGACCGCGGCGGGGCGGGGCGGAGTGGGGCGTTGTGAGGTGGTGTACGTGGTGGGTGGAGTAGGGCGTTGCTGGCCTGCGATACGACAGCTGAACCCTACTAGTTCTCACAAATGACGATATGATTTCCCCATTAGCCCCCCCCCCCACACACACACATATCACTCCCCATCTCGCCAGTGTCCAACGGACCCACCGCTCTTGACACGAATTCACTATCGCTGCAAGTGTGAGCTGATTATGCAACAACGCAACTTGCACCTGTCGCGCACCTTTAGCAGGAGTCGTGCGCACAAAAATAATACGCGCGTACGATACGATGGAGAGGCTGGATAGATAAAGTGCACGTCGAGGGACGTCGAGTTGAGTGGGCCACTGGCGCTTCCAAGCGGCTAGCGCTGGCTGGTTTTATTTTTATCTAACGTTTTCATCTACAAAATCTTGAAATTCATTAAGGCAAGAAGGGTAGACAAATGTGTTTTCAATCGAAAATTTGCGAGATTACTCTGCATCCATAAATTCTATCCTAAATTTTGCAGGAGTGCAAACCCCTCTTATTACTTAAACCCAAAGCTGGCGCTGCTCACAAAATATCGTGTTGAAAACTCTTTCGTTATTCAGGAAAATTTTACTGATGGTCATTTTCTCTGTCTTCTCCGCAGGCGATCAATGAGGTGTTCAAGTCGGCCGCCGACAACGACCTGGCTGACTGGAGCGGTCTGCTGCAGGCCACCCCCAGCGTCATCCTCCACGACAGGCTCATGACGGAGGCCTCGCTGGGACACCCGGCCGCCGGCGCCACCCCCATCAAGGCCGAGCACTCGTACTGCAGCCTGGGCGAGGACACAGACTCCACGCCCGACTCCGAGCTGTCCCTGTCGTCCAGGATGGATGGTAGGTACCCGCGTGCGCGGGAGAGCACCCAGGCGACTTTGACTGTTAACAGATTTAGATGTCGCACACGGTTAGGTGTGTTGAAATTTCATTCGCGCTCCTGAGGGTGCTACCTTTTGCAAAATTTGACGTTTACACTGTACGGTTTTTAATGCAGAGCATGTGCTCGACCTCCGTCGTATTCTACCCCGTCCGGCCCGGCCCCATACTCCCTCCGCGCCCGCGGCTCCTCTGCGCTCTATCGCGCCCGTATGCGGCTCGCCTGCTCCCGCCCGGCTCCCGCCCAGCTCCCGCCCGCATGCGAGCGCGAGCAGATACCCTACTGAGTGGGTCCCCGCCCAGCCCGGTCCTCTCCCCGCGACCGCGCGCTACACAGAGAGAGGGCTACATGGATGAGATGAGGGCGGAATCGAATCTAGCCTCGATTTTTCGCCATGACGCGTTGACGGATCATTGGGGTCGAGTGTGCGAACGCTAAACTTTCTTTCAATACAATGTGGGACCCTTCTCCTAATAATGATTGCAAGCGCTTCTTCAACTTCCACTAGGGTTATAACGACTTGAAAGGCATGAAGACGGTCACGGGGAGAGGCGGAGAGAGGGAACCCTTGCGTCGTCACACTCCTAAAATGTGTGACAGCCGTGTCGCTTACAAACATATGTGATGAATGAGGAAAAGTATTTAAATGTCCTGTGCTCAAGAAAGAGCGCCCTTAATCATCTTAAAATGCCCCGCGCTTCCCACGAGAGGGGACGCCGCAGGCCGCAGGGGGGCATACCGGCCCGCAGCGCAGGCGTGCCGGGCGGGCGAGCCTACCCGACAGGCGGCGTGCCCGGGCCGGGGGCGCGGTGGAGGTCGAGGTCGCGAGCCTGCTGCGCTGGGCCAAGGCCGGGCGCACACAGGAGATGTATAAATAGTTTGCTTTCAACCGGAGGTGATCAGGTGTTTTAATTGAAGCGCTGCGTATGGCGAGGCGGAGGCCTTCGGCTCGTTTGAAACAGCGCGGTGGCGCCCCCCCCCCCTCCGCCCCGCGGCCCTCGATGCGCCCAGTTATTGTCGGGGCGTTATCTTTTTGGGCGACACCACATGTCGCGCACCCTCGAGATTGGATTTTATCGCTCTCGTAACCTGGGTGGATGTGTTCCCAATCATCGTTGCGGGGTCTCTCAATTTCATTTGTTTGCACGCTACTCCAGCAGTCTGCAGACGGGGGCGGGAGGAAAGGCCGTGTGGGATCGGCGTTCAATGTGGTGTTCCTGGAGGAGCGTATGGGTTACCTCATTATATGCAAAAAAAAAATATCGTTCTGGATTTGGTCGCGATCTGGACGGTATGAAGCTTCCGCGCTGGGCTCAGCGAGGCACTTGTCCGCGTGCGAGGAGGTATACCACTTTTGTCGCCAAATCAGCGACCCTTGCTGGTTCCGTTTTGCAACCCGATCCCTTCGGTGCAAATCGGCCGTCGGCTACTCTTGATAACGTATCGAGCCATACGCAGCCCTGTCTCATGTGTTTTTAAAATAAATTATTATTATTATCAAAGAAACAACAAGACCGGATACAATCGATACAAAATGATCATTTTGCGTATCAAAAGTCTCGTCGTGAGTCTTACCCGGTCTTACCTCCGTCGTTTGATCGCTTTATCCTTTCATGGGATCCATCGCGAAGTGAAATGTGGGATTCCAAAAGATTTCGCTTTTTCTATGCGATCTAGTTTCGAGTTTTAGCGCCCTATAAAGTAACTCGACAGTTTGCGCCGTCGGCGTTCCCTCCCTCCCGCCCTCTGCCTCTCCCTGGGCCTGCAGCTGCAGCTGCGTCAACATGTTCTGCGCGGCGTGTTAGGTGACAGCCCAACAACGTCACATTCTTACACAATTTTCCGTTTGATCGCACTGTCTTCATTTATAGCTTGCATACATAGGTTCGTGGGGGAGGGGGGGGGGAGCCCTATGGTTGCTATGCTGAAGATTATTTGGTTTTGACTGAACTGACAGTTATTTACATTACAGTACGTTTCTCAGTAACAGTTTTACCTGTCTGTTCAACCAAGTAAGCACTCTTAGTTACACGTCAATCTGATTTCCACTGACACAATGTCAAATTATTTCACTTGACAGAAAAATACTTTCTTTTTGTCAGTTTGTTTAAAAACGAGAGGGTGTTTAATCAAATGACGTATCTTCGCACCTGCGATCGTGCATGGTGTGGGTTTTGACAAAACGAGGCGCCGTTTGTAGCCTTGGTCGCTTGTGTGCCCCCGGCGCGCCACATTTGGGAGGGGAGGGGGGGGGGGGTCCCGCGTGCAGCTCGTGGGGCCGACCGAGCCGGCGCCGGCGGCCGGGCGATAAGGGCATGAGGTGCTACCGGCGAGGGCCAAATGGTAACCGCCTGTCTTTTGGTTGAACGTTAAGAAGTCCCCATATTCGACGCAAGCCGTTGTAGCTCGCGGGATCGCACGGCGTTTCTTGTTCGGCGTTTCATGAACCGTTTTCTCTACTTTTCTTTCATTTTGAAATTCTAGCACTGCGATACGAACTGGGACCAGCCGAAAATGCTGAGACGCTGTGTATGCGCCAGTAATAATTCTTTATTTAGCCGCGCGAAGGTCACGCCCGGTGGCGACGGGCGCAAGTACAAGTGTGCGATACAGGGTGATATAGCCGTCTGATAGGACGCACGCGCTGCCGCTGAGAAAGCTGAAGCAGCCCTCCTCCCTCCCCATCGGTCCAAGGGCCGGCCGCGGCGGGGACCTCGGAGGGGACCTCGGGGGGGACCTCGGGGGGACCTCACAGCGGCCAGCCAGGGGTCACGCCTGACAATGCATGTCCCTGGGCCGCGGGGCAACAGGGCCATACGCTCCGCCCCGACTCGCGGGACCAGCCTCTGTCCTTTTCGGATCTCGCGGTCTCAAGGGAACGTTCGTTTTTGCCACCTTGCCACAGAATTCAAACGGGAGTTTCATTTCATTAAAATTCGAAAAGGACAGACTTATTTGTGGATTAGGGCTGAATTTTGGGGCTGTCTTGGGTGGCCATAGACTGTTTTATAAATATATATATTTTTTAAATGCAAATCAACATTTTTAATATAGAGTGAAAACGCGTCTCGTTGCGAGCGATAAAAATGCTTGCGCTGAAGGTGGCTATCTTTATCGCTCTGTATGGATATTTTTCACAGAGTAAAGTTTTTACCAGAAATTTTTCTCGCACCTTGAAGTCGAGCTAAACGCACCAATAACGTGTTGTCCTGGTCCGGCGGGGCTGCTGGTCTGGGTGGCCTTTGGGTCGCGACGCGATATCTTGGACTAGGTCAGTATGCATTGCGTGGGAAGTGAGCTGACCGGTACCCGATGGGGCGTGGCGTGGCGCATCCCGACCGCATGCTTCGCTCCAGCTGCATCGCCCACCACGCCCCGCCCCGCCACGCCCCGCCGGCCGTTGGCCCGGTCTTCCCTGACCCTGGCCTTGGTGGCTCCTCGGTCTCGGCCGCTCTGCTCTTCGACCCTAACGCGACCCACTGGCGCTGGTACCCAATGAATCAAATCAATGTTGTTTTTGTTTTGTCTTTTTCTGTTTTCAATTTGTTAATATTTCACTGTGAAAAAAAATTAGGTAGGTTTACAGGAAAATTTTCCTTGACGCAAGTTGTAAAATTACAAATTGTAATCGTAAAAATACATGCAGCATGTATCGACTTCAAATCCTTTGGCGAGTAAAAAATGTGCCGTCGTAAATTTACAACTTAAATTATAATTCGAGTTAACAAAATTTTTGTAAATTTACGACGATATTTTTCACAGTGTTTGTAGAAGGAAATTCAGTCCCCAAAACATTTTTTGGTTTTGTGCCGCTCGCACCCAGTGAGATTTTTTTCGAATTTCTTACTGGGTACGCGCACACTCACAAGCTCGCTCGCACAATCCTTATCGGAGGTAAAA